AAAAAATTGGTCAAGTGTAGTGACACATGCCTTTAGTTCCAGCTACTCAGAAGGCTAAGGTGAAAGGATCCCCTGAGTCCAAGAGGTTGAGGCTGTGGGTAGCCGTGATTGTGCCACCGTACTTCAGCCTGAGCAACAGAGTGAGACCCCGACTCAAAAAAACAAACAAAAATAAAGGGTCAGAAGACCAAGGATGGTGTCCACTCAGCTGCACCTTTAAGTGAAAAATGTCAGTTCTTATCACCCCACCTCCCCCTCGCACCGGCCTGTTCCTTTCTCTCTGAGTGAACAGTGAGACAAAAAATCACTTTCCCTTTGAATCACATGAGTGCCAAAAGGAGCCGGGGACTGTCTGAACAAAGTCAGTGAAGAAGACAGATATCAAGAAGGCCTAAATTCACTTTCAGTAGGTTTCATTGGCTACTAAAATGACTTGCTGACTAGTAGAAAATTCATCTGTGTCAAAATTAATACACATGTAAATGTCAGAACGATGGCATTGTACTTTTTCCAGTTTTCTTATCTTCATCACAATCAATTCCAACTAGTTTAAAAAAAATAAAAAGCATGAAAGAACTCAATTTCATGCACCTATTCGGCTTTTCGAGTACAATCCATCCTTACATAATTGTAATGCTCGAGAATCAAGGATGGTGTCCACTCAGCTGCACCTTTAAGTGAAAAATGTCAGTTCTTATCACCCCACCTCCCCCTCTCACCGGCCTGTTCCTTTCTCTCTGAGTGAACAGTGAGAGAAAAAAAATCACTTTTGGGAACCAGAGACTCCCACTGCCCCACGCTTGCGTGTACATGAGTGCATGTGCTCACACTCACATGCATGGCACATTCACGCTGCTTGCCTTGACAGTGGCTTTGGGGCGCTCCTTCCCACCTTCAGGAAGTTTTAATTATAGCTGACTGTAATGGGGAATAAATCCGTAAGAACACATCACAAGAGGAACAAGGAAACATTTCACTAAAACCCGTGCAGCATCAAAACAATATTGAAGGAGAAGGTAATTTTCAAGAGAAGAGAGAGTGTAATACGGGCGAATGGGAGGTTTGACTCCAGGCTCTTCCCCCTCCAGGTACGTGATCTTGGCAAATGGCTTACTTAAATTGTGCCTGTGATCCATCATTTGCAAAATAAGTATAATGATAGTTCTTGCCTCACACAATCAAAATGAAAATTAAATAAAGTAATAAACCTAAAACACTTGGCAGCAGTGTCTGGCACATAAAAAGCCCTCCATATGTTTGCTGTTATTACTGATTTTGTTCATCCGATCACTTCCCATTTCCTAGAAGCACGGTTTTCTGGTTCCTAGAATATATGGTAAGTGAACTCAAGAAACCAGAAGCCAACGCCCTTTCCAAGCACCTTCTCCCACGGGGCCAGCTTTGCAAGGAGCTGTGTGTAAACCCAGACACTGGTTGTACATGTGCTGTTCCCTGTGCTCAGGGACCCTACCTCATCACCCCATCATCCACACCACCCCTCACCCCAGAGAAGAGGAACAAAAAGTAAGAAAAACTCCACATTTCCCTCTCTTAAAATCAACATGCCAATAAAATCCGCTTTGACTGACTGTGCTATTTTCTTTATCTCTGAGTAGGATGCTGAGATTTCTTTCCCTTACGTACTATAAGAAATGTCTTTTGGAGCATGGTGGCACGCAGTTGTAGTATAAGCTACTGGGGAGGCTGAGATGAGAGGATCGCCTGAGTCCAATAGTTTGAGACTATGGTGGTTAGCCCAGCTCTTGTGTCAGCACTCCAGCCTGGGTGACAGAGTGAGACTCCTAGAGAGAGAGAGAGAGAGAGAGAGAGAGAGAGAGAGAGAGAGAAAATATAAATGTTTTTTGGAATATAGTGACCTGGAATTAATACCAATTGATGACAAAAGCCATACGGATATCAGGGTTCCTCAGAATGGACCTTCTTGTGTAGGAGTTTATGCAATCCTCAGCTCCTCCCCCTAATTAGTCACAGCCCCCGTTCACTGCACCCTGGGTAACCACCACAGAGCATTACCTCTTAGGCAATTCCTTTTTCGTTTCAAGGGAACCACTGTTCATCCCTGCACTTTCTTGGACCACAGCTCTGAACTAGAAAAGAATGGCATTTGGTTTTCTATAGTGTTGCACATTCCAGGCCTCTCAAATCATCTGACAAAGAGAGGTCCAGAGTTCAGCGGCTGGGCAGGCAAACACAGCAACCGTTCTTCCTTGACAACAGACTTGACCATGTGGCCACTTGAATCAAGAGAGAAAATGTCTTCCAGGCTAGGGGCTGGTTCCGGAGCTCTCAGTGTGTTACAGAGTGAGCAGCTCATCCTGGCTTGCTGGTGTCTTTCCAGACTTTAGCACTGCAAGTCACGTATCCTCGGAAGCCCTTCCAGTTAAGCAAAGCGGGATGGCTGGTTGGTAACAAACTGGGAAGTTCCCAGAGCCTGACAAACCACCAAGCAAGCCTGGGACTGAGAGACTTAACCATAGGGCCAGTGTTTCAACCTAAATAGCAGTTAGGGTTTATTTTTAGGTTTAGAGCTCATCAAGGACACAGGTTAGTAGGTTGGCTTCTGATTGAGTACTTACATACTTGAAGCATTTTCATCAATCACCTGTTCTATCAAAATTGGCTCAGGTAAATCCGCACAACCCACGACAGTAAACACACTCCATGGGCATTTCCTTCTCCTTCCTAGTCCTGGTAAATACAGTAGAGTGATGGTGACTGTAGAATTAAATATCCCACTTGTCATTCCAACTGGCCCCTGCCCCACCTTGACCCCCATTTGCCAGATATGGCTTTTTCTCCCATCTCTCCTCCTTTGATCACAAAATAAGACTGGTCCAGCCAGATCTTTGGGGATGAGTTCCTATCACTTCAACATTTAAGTTAACTCTGTACTCATGATCCTTTGTCTTGGGCAAAGAACATACATACTTCTCTCATATGGGCATCCCATAGCTATTCTGATAAACTTTGTCTTATTCAAATAAACTTTGCATTCAAGTAAACTTTGTCTTATTTCTAACTGTTACAGGTGGCAAAGAAATTGTCCTTGAAGATGAATGAGGTTGACTTCTTTGAGCCATTTATGGACGACCCTATGGCCATCCCTGACAAACCTTACACAGAAGAAGAGATTGTGGAGTTTGTGAAAGAACACCAAAGGTGCCTGAGATGGCATGCAGGGGATGTGGGGTCTGGGGTCCAGGGGATGGGGAAGAGCCTATCGTGCTGACATTTCAGACTCACCAAGAGCAGCCGCCTAGAACCAGTACCCCAGCAGAACAGGACTCAGCAATATGACTTTGTTGATCATTTGTAAATGGCAGGGATATTACTGCTTCTGAATAGGGGTCTGCACTTGCAAGCAGAGTTAGATGACTTCTCCCGGTCAGCAAGTCCCCTCAAAGCCAGAGCAAGGCTTGAGGAAAATTCTACACTACTAGTGATAGCAATTTAGTGAAAGCTTCCTATCTGTCAAGTACCATGTGAGTACTATATAGAAATTATTTTATCTAGTCTCCAACCTTATGGGATAATTATTTATTATTATCCCAATTTTGCAGAGTAGTTGCTTAACTACACTGAATCCAAAGAGGATTCAGTGTAGTTAAGTAACTTAGCCAAAGATGAATACTCTATGCCTAGAACTTCTAGGGGTGGAATACTTGATACCACTGAGATTAGCTATTGCAGCAAACTTTTTCTGTAAAGGACCAAATAGTACACGTTTCAGGCTCTGAGGCCAGATGGCCTCTGTTACAACGATTCAACTCTGCTGCTATCGCGTGAAAGCAGCCACAGATTACGTATAAACAAATGGGTATGGCTATGTCCCGGCAAAAGTTTATTTACAAAAACAGAAGGCCCTGGTTGGATTTGACCTGCCAGCTGTCATTTGCTGATTCCTGCTCTTGAGGAAAGGGCAGTATGGGAACATGGAACATGGTAGTGGGTTCATCGCCTCGCCCATCTACCCTACCCTGCCTGTGCACGGGTGTGTTCCTTGAATCTGAAGCTCTGTGATCGCCGCAACTGGACAGTCCTGGTCCTTTCAGGGAGGCAGCACTTGGAGGAACAAACGCTCAGAAATAAATGGAACTATGAGCCGAATATAGGTTCTACCTGTTCCCCCAAACATCCCTAAGGGGATGAGCCTCACTCTGGCTTTGAGGGGACTTGCTGACCAGGAGAAGTCATCTAACTCTGCTTGCAAGTGCAGGCCCCTATTCAGAAGCAGTGACATCCCTGCCATTTACAGATGATCAACAAAGCCATATTGCTGAGTCCTGTTCTGCTGGGGTACTGGTTCTAGGTGGCTGTTCTTGGTGAGTCTGAACAACCCCAGCCCTAGTTCTGGGCTAGGAAAACTAAGATTTCCTGTTTTCTCTCTCTGGTTTCCTTATTCTGGGCCTGCTGTGGGCTCTCTGGAGTGGTGTCTGGCTGTGAGGAAGGAAATGGCTTGCTCTGGGAATGAGCTGACCCTGTGCCCTCTGACCTGTTGTTTGTAATAGACTTTATAATCCTTGGACCAGTGGGTCTATGAAAAGACTGAATGGGTTAGGCTCAGCTGTCTGGCCTGGCTGGGTAGAACAGGTCTGTTTCCCTGGGGGACAAGCAAGTTTTTAGGGCTCTTTTTGCCCTTACCAATGAACCAACATTTCGTTTTACCTTTCACCATGCCGAGGCTGCGGTATCTGCCACGGTGACCCCTACTCAAGGGATCTCTCCCCCTTTTTTTTTCAGACCCACTCTGCGTCGCCTGCGCCCAGAAGATATGTTTGAAACATGGGTAAGAAAGTAACAAACTCTCTCTGCCTTGTAGAGATGAGTACAGACCCCAAGAGGAGTGCCCTTTAAGTCCCCAGATTCAAACTCTCATTCGGCTGGAGTAGAGTATTTGAAACATATAAAATGTCATGATCCATTAAAACCCAGTTCTCCATGGGTCCATTTAAGCCTCTTTGGTGCTACTCACTAGATAGCATTACTTTGTCTCTATGGTGACTATGGTTGCCGTTAGTGGGACACCAGAGACCCAGGGTAGCACAGTGAAAGGATCTCAGGCTATGAAGTAGACACATTTGGCTTCAGGTTCAGAATGTGCCAACATGACGTAATATGGCCTTCCTGGGCTTTAGTTTCCCCATTAAATCCAGGGCTTTTTATAAGAATGAATGACATGCAGCGTCCAGAATGCGGTAGTGCTTGATGAATGGACGGTAGCTGTTTTTAAACATATCACCCCAAGGCACTAGGAAGCAACTAAGCCAGCTTGTCCTTGGGTCTGTGTCACTGACAATACATCAGGCGACTCAAATAGTGTTAGAAAAAGGGCCTCAGGGACACCCTCCCACTCGTCTCAGCTGTGTACACAATTCCATAAATAATAATCACCGAAGTCTGTGGAGCATGATTCAAAGCCTTTCATGTATCCGTTTACTTGTACCTTTCATCAGATCTAGAAAATAACGGAGAACAAGTATTATTTTAGCTCCATTTATATATGGAGAAACCAGTGTTCATACAGATTTGATGAATTACTCAAGAACGCCTAACTAATAAGCATTAGCTCTTGGCACTTAAATGGAGGTCATCCAGAGCCAAATCTCACATTCTCTCTATTATGTCTCCCCAGAGAGACCGCGTTTTCCCCAGGAACCATTTGGGATCAGGGGTGGAAGGGAGGAGAAAAAGATGAACACGGAAGTATTTGTTTATTTCGTTCCTTAATTCAAAGTCTGAAGCAATGGGTGAACAGAACCAGGGAGTAACTTGACACTTAGTGTTTTACTGGCACGTAACTTATTTGGATTTTTGAAAGTGGAGCAAACATTTCACAAGAGACACTGAAGTTCAAATAATCCAGTCAGAAAGAGTGGACTATTTAAGGACAACCCAGCACAATAGAAACATACGTTCCTAACATTTAAACCTTTCAAGAAATTAACTTGTAGAAGGTCTTATTACTAGATTTAAAAATGATAATGACAAAAGGATATGTAACACTGCTTTGAAAATAATATTCCTTTAAAAATTGCGTTTGCTTTTCACTCTAAAATAATTTCAGATGTACAAAAATAGTGCAAAGTATTTCATTATCTCCTCGCCTAGATTTCCCAGATGTTAACATTTTACCATCTTTACTTTATCATTCTCTCTCTGTATATATAAATACATATTATATATATATATATATATTTTTTTTTTTTTTTTTTCCTGAACTGTTTGAGACTAAGTAGCAGACACACCCCTTTCCCCCTAAACACTGCAGGTATTTTCTAAAGATAAGGACTTTCTTTCATATAACCACAGTATAATGATCAAAATCAAGAAATTAACACTGATATAATTCTGCTATCTGATCTGTAGACCTTATTCAAACCGACCAGTTGTGCCACCAACGTCCTTTATTGCAAGAGAAAAACTTTCCTGAGCTGGGCTCGGTGGCTCAGCCTGTAATCCCAGCGCTTTGGGAGGCTGAGCAGTTCGAGACCTGCCTGGGCAACTTGGTGAGACCTCATCTCTACAATAAATAAATAAATAATTAGCCGGGCGTGGTAGCGCGCGCCTGTAGTTCCAGCTACTTGGAAGGCTGAGGTGGAAGGATCGCCAGAGCCCAGCAGGTCGAGCTGCGGTGGGTGGCCGGGAGCGGCCACTGCACTCCAGTCCGGGTGACAGAGTGAGACTCCCACTCAAAAAAAAAAAAGAGAAAAACTTTCCTTTTCTTGGCCCAGGATCCAATTCAGGATCTCACACTTGGCATTTGCTTGTCGCGTTTCTTTAGTCACCTTGAATCTGAACCGGGTTCTTAATCTGTGTCTTGTATAATACAAGTGCCAGTTTAAACTGAGAGTGATTATTGCTGTTCTCTCATGACTTTATCTCTACTTAAAAAAAAAAAATTTTTTTTCTTTATCCCTAAGAGACAAGTCTCAGTTATCTAGGCTCCAGGAAGGTAGAGTATACAAAGCTGTGGAAGCCTTCCCCCGGGACTTTCCTAACTGACACAGCAGTGTCACACCCAAGTCCATGCCATTCTGAAGCTGGAGAGCCTATGTCCTTGCATATTCCATGCTGCTGCAGAGAGGCTCCCCCTTGTCATTTCAGAGGCAGATGTTCAGAGAGGAAGTTCACCGTCTTGCTTCGGTGGAACTCATTCTCTGCTTTCTTTTCACTTACGGAATAAGATCAATTACAGCCTTTTGCTGTACTATAAAATAACAGTGATGACTCATATTTTCCACATTATTGCATACTGAATTGTCTTCCAGTTGAGGAAGGGGTGTATTGAATTTAACCAGGTAGAGAAAAGGGCAACCTGCAAGGTTTACCACTTCCCAGCTACTCATTCTGAAACAGCCACATGACTTTCCCAGAAGCTCAACCAGACTTAACCAGCCCCCTCATCCAAGTCTCCTACTAGAAAGGGAAGGTGAGACAGGCCCCGCCAGGGTCATCTTTGCCTCAGAGGTAGAAATCGATTGGTCAGAGGGACCTCTGAGGAGCTATTTCCCACTCTCCTCCCCATCCACCTGTGCTCCCTAGAAGGGCACTGCTCTACAGAGTGGCGTTCCCGTGGTCCACTTGGCCACAGCCACTTAGACCACCGATGTGGTCGTGAAAAGTGACCACTTAATGAGCTCAAAAGTCTGTATCATCAACACCACTTCCCCAGACATTGCAAGATATTTAAATAAGACAGGAAAGCCAACAAAAGCTAAAGCCACTGTTGACCTTTGCCTCCCAATTGTGCAGGTTTTAAAGGATGCAGACCATAGAAAACACATCATATATTGTTACTAAGGGAATTAGTGCCTGGTAATATTTGCCTTGTATAAATCAAAGAGCTATTCACTTATTTTAAATATTTTAAAGACTGCCAAAGCGAGGCAGGGCAACCCAGACTTAGTGCCAACCCGGCATTCCCCTTGAAGATTCAACCCTTCATCTAGCCAAGTGTCCAGCCAGAGTCCTGGGCAACTTCCCACAGAGGAAGAGAGTCAGAAAATCCTTCTCGAAGAATCCCCGCTCTATTGAAACAGCAAAGTACTTCCAAAACAGAGAACCCACAGATGAGCACCTAGTTCACTCCATCACACCTTGAAGAGGGAACCTGCTGGCCTTTTTTTCTTTGTGTCTCTTTATTCAACATGAGAACAGTCAACAGAGACTAGGGGAAACAAAGAGCAAAATGTTAATGGTGATCATCTATCTGGCTGGTGAATAATTGATGTGTGGTTTCTTCTTGGTCTCTCTAATATTTTCTAATTTTCTTCAGTGAGTCAGATTTTTATTGCCATACTCTTTTTTTTCCTGCTCAGTTCAGTTGGCATTAATAAGAGGCTCTGTGCTAAGCAATGAAGATATAAAAATGAGTGTTGTGTCCTGTCCTTAGGAGCTCAGGGTTGAGTAGATGGAGTGGTCTCAAGACATGTAAGCCCAGCTCGGTACGCTCACCTCTGTGACAGAGGGGCATACAAAGTGCTGGAGAAGGTATGCACTGACATTATCCCTGAATCTCCAGGTCTTTCGGGGGTCTTGTGCTCAGTTCCTTTTATACAGGTCTTTTTTCCACCTCTTTCAACTTAAGTAAGAGCCACTGATCCAAGTCTGCAACATCTTCTGCAAACCCTGCAGGAGGCAGTTGATTCGTGGAGCCTGTTCTGCGAGTGGTGGTGAGGAAGAAAGAGTGTGGGTGCCATGGCCCAAATGCTTGTGTCCCCCTACATTCATATGTTAACACTTTAACCCCCAAAGCAATGGTATTAGGAGGCGGGGACTTTGGGAGGTGATGAGGCCATGAGGGCTCTACCTTCGTGACAGGATTGGTGTTCTTTTAAAAGAGGCCCTGGAAGGATAGCTAGTCCCTTCCACCATGTGTGAACACAGCATGGGGGCACCGTCTGTGAGCCAGAAAGCAGGCCTCACCAGGCACTAAATCTGCTGGTGCTTGACTTCCCATCCTCGAGAACAGCGAGAACTATCTTTCCGTCTATGAGTGAACCAGATTGTGATATTTTGTTATAGAAACCCGAATGGACCAAGACAGTGGGCTTTGGGGCCAGACAACTGGTTTGAATCCCACTTTTGTCACTACTAGCTCTGTGGCCTTAGGTAAGTCACTTCAATTCTTTAGGCATTAAATAGGAAAAGATGTTCATATGAGATTTCGAGCTCATGCCCTTACAGAATACTTAGGAAAAAGGTGGCAAACGGCAGGTATATTTTCCATGTCAATCATCGTTGTTATCTTAAGGTCTAGTACCTTCCCTCAGAGAGCTTGCCATCCAGTTAAGGAGATTTGAGCAATTAACAGAGTTTCTGAGGCAACGTGAACTCATGACCAAATGGGTGATCTAGCAGCAAAGGCTGTGGAGTTCAGAGAAAACCACTGGCAGGGCTTAGGCCCGCGGTCAGCTCAGAGCTTTCTCCCCAGCGCACACTAGAATCTCACTGAATAACCCCAACTGGCCAGCTTGCCCGTGCAGTCATGCTCCATGAGTTTATTACTGAAAATACCCGCCACCTCACACAGGCCTGCTTCTTCGCTGGTGTCCGATACAGGTCTGTGTGCTGAATCTTTGAGATGCACAAAGAGAGAGGCTCTTTGATGGTGACAGTGCTCCACCCAGGGACTGTCTTGGGTCTGAGAGTGACAGCCGTATTATGGGCAGCCTCTTAGAAAACGAATATGGATTCTTAATTCTAAAGCCAATTTCCAAGTGCGTTCTAGAAGGGCACACAGAAATGAAGCCTGCTTCACAGACTTAACAGCGTTCACTTCCATCTGATGGCAGGAGACAGAGATACAGCCTAGCCTAATGAAAACTGATCGGGAGATTCTGTGTGGCGATAATAGCAAATGTAAAACACTGAGACCTCAGACTCCCCTTCTGGTTGCTGTCGGGTTTGTATAATAAGCTGGCCCACGTGTACATATACACACATACAGCTGTAAAATTCAATTCCCCAGAGAATTTGATCAAGGCAGTGCCCACTCTCTTGTTTTTAATAATAATATTTTCCATTTAATCTCTCTTAGAATTTTTGGAGGTTTTGTCCATTTCAAACTCAAAGGGGAAAAATTAGCATTTAGATAGGATTGCAGCAGCATTAAAATCAATTGAAATGGAAACAGAGATCATAGGAGGGTTGAGATGCCTGGAGTTTTTTCCATAGGAGGATGTGGCTACAACAGTCAGGATGCCCTGTGAATCTCACTCCCCATGTCTGCCATCATCAGTATTCCCTCGGCTTTGTCCCCAGGTGCTTCAATCTCACACAGATTCCTCTCCAAGTCTCCCGAGAATCGCGTTTCCTGCAACAGAGGCCCTTCCAAGCTCTCACTCCACTTTTTCCAGGAATAATCAATGCAGTGGAAGCATAAGTCATACGATCCCTCTATCCAGGGTGTAGAAACATGAAATGCCCCTTGCTTGCCTCAGATTTAAAATGCTCTGGTTTCTTTTCCCCACCCTCAACCCCACAGCCATACCCACTAATCTCAGTCACACACCCTCCACACTCCCACCTTCCAGACTCTTCCTGGAGACTTCCACACTTACAGAGATGCATCGGAGGTTTAGCCTGATTTGGCAAGCTTTGGGGAGGAAACAGAAAGGACCCCAAGAAAACTACCTGGAGGTTGCAGTCATCGTGGCATCCTCATGTACTGCATGGGCTCTGTTTCTTCAGTAAGAGGTGTTGGCTGGGCACGGTGACTCACACCTGTAATCCCAGCAGTTTGGGAGGCTGAGGTGGTAGGATTACTTGAGCCCAGGAGTTTGGGACCAGCCTGCAACATACTGAGACCTCATCTCTAGAAGAAAAAGAAAAGAAGTATCAGCAGAGTCTGAACAGAGAAGAGGTACACTTTTACATGATTCTTGTGAGAACAACACTGACCCACATCCCAATTGACCCCGTTGATTCCTGTCTGTGATCCATCTGGGGATAGTTTCAGGATCTGTCTGCAGCATCCAGAAATTTCCAGTCAGCTCCACCTCTGAGTATCTCTGCTGGGGGTGAATTCTTGAAACAGAGACAGACAGTTGCCAACCCCGAGCGGCCTCCGCAAGTGACTGTTGCCCTCAGAGCTCCTGATAAGCCAGACTCACATTCTTCCTCATTTTGCCTTTTTCTGCTGCTCTCCTGGACCCACCAGACCACAGGCGTGAGACTCGTTTCGGGCTAATGTCCTGTCTGTGCTTAGTGTTTTTCTGTCTCGCCAACCCATCGACTCGAAATTCCGATCAAAGCCCCGTGCTCCCCTGTCCGTCACTGCTCATCAGCTTTCCCTCCTGACTGTGTGCCACGCTGGGCTCCTCTGTACCTGTGTCCGCTCCTCTTCCATGCCTCCCGCCTCCCGTCTTTCCATTCCGGCCTCCGAGTCCCTGTCTGCGCCTCCGTCCTTTGGATCTCTCCTCCTGGGGGTGTAACCTCTGCTCCTTTTCTCCTCCAGGAAGATGATTTGAACGGGATCCACATTGTGGCCTTTGCAGAGAAGAGTGACCCAGGTAGGAAACCCTCTATCTGCTCTCTTAAGCCGTTAGAGAGAACTGACTTCTCACCTTTGGCAGCCCTCACGGCCCAACTGCGCCGCGACTGCAAGATATCGGACACCCCCTGGTGGTCGCCCGTGAGGCATGAGTCTGTTTTCAGTGGTGCACACAGCTCGGGGATGGGAAGATGTGGACGTAACTTCAAACATTCTGCTTAGTGGCCCCCACTAGGAGGGGCACTGGGCACTGGGAAGGGTCTGAAGCCATCCTGGCTTTACAGTGTGTGTGTGTGTGTGTGTGTGTGTGTGTGTGTGTGTGTGTGTACTTCTGTTCACATTAAAAGTTTATTTACCGATTTTGTGACCTAGACTACAGATAAATCCTACCTTAAGCTCATAATACATGTATATGTTGACCCACGGAATATTGTCTATGCTAGGAGAATGAACGGAAAACATTCCCCTGAATACTAAGAACTGGGCAAAACAGGCAACTTTTTAAAAAATGCGAGAGGGCCCTGTCAATGGATGAGTAACTTTAGTTTTGGAACTTGGGCAGCTTTCTTCTGGTTTCACTCTTTCCGATGCCGGTAGAGAGTGAGTGGAGGAGAATTAGTTTTGCAGGTGATACGACGCTGGGCCGGACGGCAGCGCTCCGTGATCCCAGGGTCTCCGAAGGGAGGGAAGCAGGGGAGACTCTGAAGGGCGTTTCGAAAAACCCGGGACAATCCAGAAGGTAACCAGAAAAGGCATTTAGGATGGCTGAGCAGCCGGGCCTTGACTGAGCTGTGAACAGCCTGGGCAGGGGTCCCCAGACCTGACCGTGGGCAGAACTGGAAGCCACCAAGCCAGCTCAGGCTGGCTGAGACAGCGCCTCAGGAGCTTGTGACTTTGGGGGGGCCCTGGGGGAAGTTCCAGTGCACCATCAGGCCTGGGAGCCACTGTTCCTGGTGATGTCAGGTTCTGTGGGATCTGCCATGGACCTCCGTCTCCTGGCGTGCCTGTAGTGAGAGATCTGGAGACGATCACTGGACAGAAGGAAATAGGGGCTCAGAGAAGTCAAACAACAGTCAGTGGCCGAGAGAACAGTCAGTGGCGGATCCTAAAGGCGGGACAGAGTGTCCTGTTCATCAACAGACAGCTGATTCTCACACAGAGCCTTGACACCTGGTAGGTGCTCAATAAATATCTGTCTGGCAGTTGATTAGCTAGATGACAACCAAGATTGAGTTTCAAAGACTTTGCTTTGGGACCAGCGCTTCCACCCCCTCCCCCCTTTTTTGGCAATACATTATCAGCCTTCATAGTTGGTTACAAACTGAAACCCAATTTTTTTTTTTTTGAGTTGGAGTCTCACTGTTGCTTAGGCTAGAATGTAGTAGCATGACCGTCTCCTGGGTTCAGGTGATCCTTCCACTTCAGCCTCCCAAGCAGCTAGGACTAGAGGCATGCACCACCACACCTGGCTGATTTTTAATTTTTTTCTTTTTGTAGAAACAAGGTCTTGCTGTGTTGCCCAGGCTGATCTTGAACGCCTGAGCTCAAGTCATCCTCCCGCCTCAGCCTCCCAAAGCTCTAGGACTATCAGGCATGAGCCACTACACTCAGACTGAAACCCAAGATTTTTTATCATACAATTTTTAAAGTCAAGATATAATCTGCACACCAATAGTCACCCTTTTATATAGTGTACAGTTCAGTGGTTTTCAATATAGACACAAAGTTGTGAAACATCAACACTGTTTAATTCCAGAACATTTTCATCACCTCAAAAGGTAATTAAAAATACCCATTAGCTGTTAATCTCATTTCCATCTCACTCATGAATTACTTACTGCCTCGATAGATTGCCTATACTGGGCAGTTTATATAAACAGAATCATATACTAGAATCATATAATGTAGCCTTTTGTGTCTGACATCTGCCACGTAATTGTTGTTTTCAAGGTGTATCCGTTTTGGAGCATGTCTTAGTACTTCATTTCTTTTTAGGGCTGAATAATATTCCATTGTCTCAAAACCAAATTTATGTTCCAAATGATCTGAGAGCTCCTTGGCTTTTTCATTAAATTTTTTGAATGTCCATTGATAGACATTCATAGACTTGCAGAGTCCTTGTCCAAAAAAACAAAAAAAGCCAGTGTAATTTAAACTTCTTTCCGCAGATTCTGGCCACCCCCCTCCCCCGGAGGAGCAAATAGCAAGGCAGCCATTTGCCTAAGGTTTACAAGCTGTCATCAAACAGAGTTGGATCCTGGGTGTTGTGTGAACAGAGATGGAGTTGCCAGAGGCAATGGCCAGCTGGCCAGACTCCAGGGGGCTTCCTTCCCTCTCCACCTGGCCCCTTTCAGGATCGTGGGGAGGCCTGTCTGGTCCTCTGGAACAATGGAACAAAGAGGCCTCCCTGGAGTTGCAGAAACCTGTTTGACCGAGATTGCTACTGTAATGAATCAGGCTTCTGAAACCACTGCCACCTCCTCCCTGCACAAACATCCCTGGGCCTGAAGCGGTGAGGGTGGGGAAAGGGGAGAAATCTTCTTTCAGCGAGGGCCTTACCACTCCAGGCTAGGAAAGGGAAGGGCTTGTCTGAAAGTGAACTCTGGTTAATCAGTGATTTACCACAGGGCACCCATGTGTAACCCGGGGCGAGGGGCCTGGCTGCAGGACTGGGAATTTCCTTCCCGCAAAATAAAAGTTCCTCTGAATACCTTTGCTCTTGTTAAAACATGAAACACAGCTTATTGCCCCCACCAGATTCCTACCCGGCAAAGGAAAAAGGTCATACAACCAGGAAGATAGAGCAGTTCTTCCTAAAGAGCTAACAGGATGGTGTTGGAAGCTTTATGTAGATGACCTCATCCAGTCCCTAAAGCCACTCTCTATTGTCTGCATGAGTATGCGTGAGAAAAGTGAGTTTTAGAGTTTAAAAAGTGAGTTTTAGAGCTTCTGTCCATCGTGACACCGAATCATGTGACTTTTCTAAACAAACCAATTCTGAGATCCTAGGGCCAGGAGAAGATAAGCAGACAATCACTTTCTGTATCTAAGCCAAGATTCAGATTCTAGCAGGCTCTCTGGACCTCTAAATGCATCATGTTTGATGAGGAAGGCATGATGACTGTCCGCCTGTATGGCAACAACCCCACGAGGGCGGTGTCATTTTTATTCCCATTCTACAACTGAGGCAGCTGAGGCTGAGAGAGCTTAACCTGCTGGGACGCACTGGAACTGGAACAATGCAGAAGGTTGTCTGGCTTCCCAGCCCACACCCTTACCCACAAGGTCCTGCTCCAGACTTGCCTCCTACTAAGAGTTGCTGCCCTGACAACAGCTAAGCCATCATCCAGTCCACCTTCCACCACCTTCTCGCCCTCCAGCATTTGAAAGACAAGAAAACAGCCGGGCTCAGCCTGTAATCCCAGCGCTTTGGGAGGCCGAGGTGAGTGGATTGCCTGAGCCCGTGGGCTCAAGACCCATCCGGGCAACTAGGGGAGACCTCGTCTCTACAATAAATCAAAAATTAGCCAGGTGTGGTAGCGCGCGCCTGTAGTTCCGGCTACTCAGAAGGCTGAGGTGGAAGGATCGCCGGAGCCCAGCAGGTCGAGGCTG